AACTGAGAAATCATAAATCGTGCATTTATTATAAAGTCAATGTCTTCATTAAAAGAATATTCCATATGCATCGTGTAATAACCATGTGGTCATAAATATTTCATAACAAGAACTTATAATCTTAAGTTGATATCAGTTTAATGAAAATGCACGACAATTAAGAAAGCTTTTTCTTTACTGGAAACATTCCTTTATATTTTATTATGTTTTTTCATCAGTGTTTAGCAGCCATTAAAGAGGTTTCCAGTTGGTAACTGTTATAATTTTTTAGCAATTTCGTCTGAAAATATGGCTCATTCCCGCTTCATTTCAATACTTTTGTTGTTTTTGTTTTTGTGCGTTATATTTACTGTCAGACACATAACAATCTACTTGAAGAATTATTGGTCATTTGAAAAATTTTTGCGCTAGTTACTTTCTATCAGAAAACTCGTAAATAATCATGATCTATATTACTGATCAAATTCCTTAATGTCATTAATATAATCTTTTAACGTCAACATTTCCCAATACTTTCTTCTAAATGCTTGTAAGAATACTGAACAAAGGATGGATATGAGCTATGAGCCATTGTTTATAAAAATATTCCACCGTTTTTTATTTATCAAGAATATTCTATAATATTTTATCACTGAGTCTGATTTTTTGTTTTGTACAGTGCAAGAGTTATGAGAGCTGATGATGACTTAATACAGATGGAGAGGAAAACACGCAGCGTTGTGGGTGTTGGTGAGTTGGAAAATACAGTCTAAAATTCCACATAGTTAAGAAAAGAAGAAATTAATGCTACTTTTATACATCTTAATTCCTTTCATTAAAATTAATGTGTTTCACAAAATTTCCTGAAATTCATTTTAAGTCATATTTTTTCAGCATACGTTGTCAAGTCCCTTTCTAGCGATATTACTTATTTGTCTGCCAAGACGACATGTAAAGCTGATGGAAAACAATTGTGTCCTTCTTTTGTCATTTGTCGAGATGGTAAATATCCAGTTGGACCAGTAAGGTTTGGTGATCATTGGACTCCTGTTAAAGACGCATATAACCAATGGCTTCAAATTGGTAAAAATACTATCTACCTGTATAGAAAATATAGTTACAAACATCCTCGAAAAAATATAATATTTAGTAACACTAGGGAGAAGGACTTCTGTTTGAAAGATAACTGGTTTCATCCTTTCTATTTATACCTTTTAAAAATAATTATTAGCTTCAAGACTTATTAACTAAAAGATTGATTTTATAAATGTTTTTTAGGCAATAATGGTCCTCATAAGACATGCATACTCCATTCTTCAGTAGGATATCTTCCTTCATGGGGAACTCAAACATCACGATATGCGTTTAAGGGATATGTATACTGCTGTACTCCTCTCCTGTAAATTAAAAAAGTCGATGCTTATTTTCTATCTAATTTCTTTCATTATACTTTATATTGTTGTATCTCATTTTGTGCACTGGTAGTGTTTAAAATAAATTTTAATGTTTTTTCTCTCTTCAAGATGCTGGTTTCATGTCTTTTTTCGATAGTTTGTTTATGTTTTTAATATTTACGGAGTTGCCAAATTAAAAAATTTCTTCAAAATCACAATCGATGTTTTCCACTATTATTTACAATTATGTGTCTAATGTATTTACTTTTAGGTCATAAGTATCAATAATGTTGATTCAGTACTTTCAAGGATCTCCACAAAGAATACAAAAATTTTTATCTTTTTGGAAAGCCTATTTCTATTCTTTGATTGTCATAATTGTAAAGACTATCTAGAAATTTTATGTTCCTTTTGCAGGACTCGTGCCATCAAAATTTTTAAATAGTCAAAGTTAACTTATGTAACATTATGTTTTCTTGCTAAACTCAAGTATTAATAGCTATTATGCAGAAAATGCAAATATAATTTAAATGTATTCGCAAACAAAAAGTGACTTGTTATATACATGCAATCGCAGTAAACCTATAGACTGCTTGATTGAATCCATAAATATTTCAAGTTTCCATCAATACCTTATTTTTAATTTGTTATTTTCGTTGACTACAATTGTTAAAGATTTAATTCATTTTTGAAAACAAATCTAAGGATGTATATAGGAATTAAGTTGAATAATAGTGGAGGATTGGAAACTTTTTCATGTATACTCGATAAACAACAAGTACCATAGCTTCATTAAGTGTAAATAATGGGCTAAGTCGCAGAGCTAAATCTAAACTTGGAAATGTTCAAATAATTTTATATAGGAAACCGAAACTCACCAGAATACATTTGATTCTAATTATAAATATTGAATGCTAACACATGTGCAAAAAATCACTCACCAATGCTTACTATATAACGCTTGAATCAGCAAAACAAGAACAAATCGTCAAAGTTAATAGCGATGCAAAAAAGTTGAATTTAAAATAAAAACGTTTTCGCTATAATTTACTTTTGAACATTTGTTTTGTAAGCACAAATCACGAGATATGGTTTTATGCAAGTCAATACATTTTATGCTTCCTCTGTGAAATATTGGGATTGAAGTAAAAAGAAAACATTTTAAAAAAGTGCCCTTGTATTTTACCCTGTGAATTGGCAAATTTCTGAAACTGTTAACTGAGCTTTAACAAAAATACCATATTGTAGCTTCATGTATTACCCATGCTTATAGCTGAGTCATTTTTGTTTGCATTGTCTGATAAACGCTAGATGTTATAAATTTGAGGGCACTTATGTAAACACATGACATTAAAGAGAGAGGCTTTTATTTGATTTTTATCGCCTTTGTGTAAGATGACTGCAACTATGGTTGTCGAAACGTATCTCAATATCAACATCAACAGTGCTTCTCAAGACTATACTAACCTGGACGCAGAGGCGTAACTGTGTTGTAAGATGAATTTTAAATATTCATGCTCGCTTGCGTCAAAAGTTTACAAAAACGGCAAAAAGTTCATATTACATCATTGTATTACATCTAATTTTTAAGATCGGAAGTTTACGGAAAGTCTCGGACATCCCCGGAAAATCCCGGAAATTGTCGAAAACGCTTGGAATTACACGGAAAGTACCGGAAAATATCGGATTATCTTAAAATTCCTCGTTGTTTTGAAAGATATGTCAAGCTAAAAAGATTTCCCTTTCTTTGAACTATTATTTATCTTTATGAATATGATGAAAATACAAAAATTTGTAAAATTGTGAAAAGTTCACAGAAAGTTCACAAACTTTTAATGTTCATGAAATGTAAATGAAAAAAGCCAAAAGTTCACAAATCTGTGAGATTTGTTCACGATCTTTCAACACTGTACTGTACTCTTTTTAGAATTAATTCCATTGTCACATTATGAAGTTAAATTTATGTAAAAAAAAACCATTTATAACAAGACACCTCTTTTTATTTTTCTTTGTTTTCTTTTCTCTTTTGTGTGTTGATTTTATTAACATGGTAATACTTCAATATTTATTAAATTTTATAAAAATCATTTCATTTTTTTAGTTTACGATAAATATTAAATGTCACCATCGTTATGCGCGCAAATTGTTTGAACGTCTTGCCGCGAAATACGATTTTACCCACTTTAACTTTTTTGTAAAAAAATATCATCGTATTTCTCTATTTTGGCAGTTTATACATTTGCTATTTTATTGAATGAATATCCTGGTCGCCCTTTTTTGTTTCAATTGCATTTTGTATGCACTCATTTGTTTAATCTAAAAAGAAGAAACCCGAGCAAAATTAAACAATTCAAGAGAACAAAATACAAAAATATGACTACTGAAAAATTATAAAGATCATTGGGTGTTATACGTTACTGGGATTACGAAAACACGTAACATATTTATTTAATTTCTTGTTATTGGGCTGTTAAGATTTATATGCAATATAAAAATTTATTATTGCTTCATAAAGATTTTTCTTGTAAATATAGTTTACTTGGGTTTAAAAATAATAAGAATTATAATAAGAAAAATAATAAGAGTCTAATGAGGAGTAAACGTGAGGCTAGCCATGTTTGTTATCTGGTTATTTGTTATCAACACTTACAAACCAAACGAACCCAACGAAATGAACAACGATACCTTACATCAAAGGTACGTCTGGGATTATCTCGCGTATCTTACGACCATACAACATACGTGTCGCACATAAACCAATCATAACGTTACGACAAGTACTAACGAACATAAAAGACAAAGAACAACCCAAAGAATGACAAGGTGCAGTTTACAAAATAAACAGCTCCGACTGCCACGCCTCCTATGTCGGGGAAATTGGCAGGAACGTAAACATAAGTATTACTGAACACAAACGAGCTACAAAGAAACAAGACAACACTAATCACATTGCCAAACATCGCCGACTCACAAAGCACAGCATTGATTGGGACTCTAGACAGCACTGACTATAGACAACGGCTTACATCAGAGAGTTGGTAAACCAACTTGGAACAAACCCTCCCGAACAAATCACAGCAATTACCGGCACCTTATAAACGACTCATTCACAATACAAACAAATGATCACCTAAAAACATTACGCTTCACACTAATCCACAATGACAATTCACAATTGACACCCACACATTACAACTAAAAACATCACACCTAAATCACACATCACAACTAAAAATAAAAATATTTCACTTCACACTAATTCACAATGACAATACACATTTCCTGTACACACAATACAATGACGTAAGAACCAGATAACAAATACGGCTAACCTGACGTTTACTCCTCATTTGACTCTGAAGATGTCTACTGCTAAGGTTGTCGAAACGTCAGTCAACAACAACAAAAAGTAGGGCATAACGGAATATATTAATGTGCACTACCACCCCCACCCCCAATTAACGTTCTAGTTACGCCTCTGCCTGTACGATCTACATCTATAAACATGTAATAATTAAACAGTTTCAGAGCAAAATTGACGACCCACTACTCTAATGATACCATGACAATGGTAATTTCTATGAGGTGCATCTGTCAGAGAATTAAAGTTTATCGATAAGAGTACACACACCTACGTGAAGTATATTATACGTACATCTCTGATAGTGCAGGCTCAATGTTCTACACGTGCAAAGTAAAGAATGAAACGTAAAATGGAGAACAGCGAAACCAAGATTCCGAGATTGGAGGCGAGTTTTCTCCGTTAGTTGTTATCTTTTTCTGTTCATAAGACATCATATATGTAATGATAAAATTTTTACGTTTAAAGGAAGGCGCATCTTCCATGAAAGTAAACGGTGATTGTGAAAAATCAACAGATGAAAAGAAGAGTTTGCCTCCAGATCAAATGACAAGTGCCGACTATTATTTTGATTCATACGCTCATTTTGGTAAGGATTCTTACGCTCATGTTAATCTTTTACTTAAGTTCTTTGCTAAAGTCAACATTATGACTGTCTTCATCATTAGTGTTTTGCGTCGACCAAATTTGATTGACTTTTAAAAGTATGTACAATAACAACTCCTATAATCAATGTTTGTGTCATTCTATCTATTTGAATAATCTATAGATTTTGTTTCTTGAGATTTATATTGTGTATATAGTGTATACATCAAATGTTTTTGGTTAAATGCTTGTGTTTAATGTACATCAAAAGATGATGTGATGGTGGTTCATGTTGCATACTAGGGCATTGCTGCCCCCAAGATAAAATTCAAAGAAAACGTTGCTACCCTTAGATGATTTTAAGTGAGTTACATCTGCCCTTGCAGCTTTTCTAAGTCTAAACGCCACCCTTTATTTCCAGAAGTTTACAATAAAAAGTTCTCTAAATGCCGCCCTTTAGGTTTACTGCCCCCATTGTGCAGCATTTTTTGTAATTCTGCTCAATACCTTGGAAAAATATGCCGTAGTAAACAGCCTAGTTCGCGGTTATGTTCTTACATCATGTTGTTTGCAAAGATATTTCTTTGGGCCTTCAGTGACACAATTATCATATAGTGTAATAATATTCCTTAAGCTTTGTACAGTAATTTTGTTAGAAAAATTTTCTCCTACAAGTAATTATAAAATATTGGTTTTTGTTTTCAATGATGATAAATTTGCTGCAATGAAGGGCAAATGTGCTCCTGGCATTTCTTAACTGTCAAGTTTTAGTGACCCAAGTTTATAAGCAGAAAACAACAAAATATAACACATTTAATGTGTTTGGGTGCATTTTTGCCCCTCAGTTTGCCCCTGTGTTCATTATTTAATGCTTTCAGCACCTAATGTATCAGGGGAATATATTTACTCTAAGTCTGGGGCAGTGAACCAACCAGCTTGGAAGTTTTGTCATGCTATCTACGTTTTAGATCATAAACATACATTTTTTTATTGTATTGTTTTGACAATGAGTGAACATTAAAACATTTACATAGCACAACCAAATTGCAAGCTGAATATGCCACTTGCTGATGGAAGTTTTGTTTTTTGAATATGAATATGATAGCCCAAAATATTATATTTGTAATTGTGCCATTCCAAAGAATTAGGTTAAAACAATTTTTTAATTGATAATGTTTCGCTTTTTAATTTAAGACTTCTTTAGATACGATGATAAGTAAATTTTACATGTAGTTTCAAGTATTAAAAAGATAGCTATATTTCTTCTTACTTATATAAACAACACATCGGTATCATCCAAATTTTCTAATCTTTTTATTATGTTATTTTATACCCTTTAATTTTGTTATTATCTTGCTACTATTTGAAGGTTGATATAAATATATATATCACTGTATCTGAAGATGTTTAAGTTAGAGCCAAAATGTCATTCTTTGAAAAGCCTTTTTCCACAATTCTTTTTAATCAGTGTTTCAAAAGTAATATCTAGGGTTTTCCATTGAAAATGTGCTTTCTGGCTGGCAAATCACTGGATATTATTTACAAAAAACTTTGTTTTTAAGCATTTAATTTGATCATACATACATTATCTTTAGTCAGATCTTAGTTATTCCCTCATAGATAAGTACATTTGTGATATTGAATTTTTTTTTCTATGTTGTTCGATTCATCAGGAATTCACGAGGTAAACTTACTCTTTGTGAAATATTTTTTTTTCTTTATTTTCTTTTCCATGTCCTTTGCACTTGATTAAGGTCTGAAGAAATAACATTTTCCTTAAAAAAATGAAGCTGGCTTTATAATGTTCATTCACAGATTGTTCAATATTTAAAATCTAATTTTCCCATGTTTACATTATACGTACTTGTTATGAAATATGGCTTTTTAAGATATATATTTGTATAATATAAGGTATTTCTAAATTGTTTTTTAGGAGATGCTCAAAGATGAAGTGCGGACATTGACATATAGAAATGCAATGTATCACAATAAGCACTTGTTTCGTGGCAAAATTGTTCTTGATGTTGGTTGTGGAACAGGAATTTTGTCTATGTTTGCTGTTAAAGCTGGAGCAAAACATGTTTATGGGGTGAGCAGACTTGGTTTTTTTGTTTGAACTTAGAGATGTGTTTGTACAGGACATTACTAGTTCTAAATTGCTATTTTCTTTGTGAGTGTATAGGTTAGTCTTATAATTATTTTACAATCTAGCTTCTGTCATGTACCAACATTAAATTGATATTAAAGACTTATAGTGTTATTACTATATTCAAACATTGTTATTTAAGTAGCTGCATGTTCAAATAATAATAATGATTTTTTCAAAGCAAGTCGCACTGTTAAATGCCATCTTTGTTGAATAAATAGTGTTAAGTATTATAATTCATGATAGTGCAGGCTCAATGTACTACACGTGCAAAGTGCCATATTTGTAGAATAAATAGTGTTAAGTATTATGATTCATGATAGGAAGCTATAATATGAACTAATTATTTACCATGAATACATGCCTTGCTTTAAGAAAATCGGGTGATTGATCATCGACCCTGAAAGATCTTTAAGTATCCTTATATAGTGATAACAAACGCACGCGATAAAGGGAAACTGCACCTAGAAAATTACTTTAACAAATGCAAGTAAAGCTATTTTTCAATAATGGTTTTCATCAATACATTATATTTTTTTGTCATGCAATGTAAATTAAATAAAAATCTGTAAATGGATGGAAATCAGCAATTTGATATTTATCGCGACAATTTCCCTCCGTTGTGGAAGAAAGCTGGCGCGCGCGATAGGTCACTTGCTTCGGTAAAATTTGGCACGTGTGGGCGTGCGTGCGCGATCACGTGCCCTCAAAGCAAGGCCTGCGAATACAAATATGATGTAATTACAATTATTTGACTAGTTTACTAATTTGTGGACGTGAACATTATTTAGTCGTAGACTTCAATTTGCTCATGGTAGCAAATCATCCTTCGTATTTCTGGTGGCATAAATTTTATATGGTTTATATGGTTTCTAAGAGGTTTTTAGATTATGAAATAGTCACTTGCCAATAATTAACCATTACATATTGCTAGTTCTATCTGCCTAAGGCTTGCTTTAGTAGGTTTCATCGTCTAAAATTGCAGCAAACATGATAGATTGTCTTTTAAAACTGCCTGGAATTAAAAATTATCCACTGACAATAATTGACCATATAAAAATTGACATTAAGTCAGTGACGTGTTAGCCCGTAATTTTGGTCCTGCTATGTAAATTTTAGATCATTATCATCGTTCATTTCTTTAGAAATCTAGTGTTTTTACTGTGAGTGAACACAGAAAATTTTTTATAGCACGACCAAACAAGCGGTCTGGCTACGCCAATGCATTATCTTATAATAGCAATATTAGTCTTTTGAAAAACGTTTTCGAAAAGGGTGGGAAATCACGTTGCTTAAAATAATTTACTCTGCCCTGGAAATTTTCACTCTTGCAAAAATCTTTCATTAACTTCCCTATGAAGGGATACCAAATACCTATCTTGCTTTAGGAACACATTTTCGTTACTTACTTAGCTACTACCTCACCGCAAATCACTTCTCACTAAAACGTATCGCCCTATCTCAGTAAAGATCAACGCATATATGTATTGCATGTCTGAGTCGGAAATCAGTAGCATCTATGATGTGGCCAGAGCTGTATTTTGTATAGTTCTCCTATTCCAAACCAGTTTTACTAACGTAATTTGATGATTAATTTGTATTTATTAGTTTTGTTAAAAATATGGTCTTGAGAAAAATAAAAGTTCAATTTATGCCGTCAATTCCTTTGCGTTTCCTTGTTACATATGTACCTTTATACGCAGTAGCTGATCTATGGTACCTCAAAATTAATCACAGCAGCGCAATTTGGAAAATATTTACATTTCTAAGCTCTTTAGAGACAAGTTCACTGGTGGAACTATTCTCTTTAGAAATTCAAAACCAATAGCATTTTTCGGAAAGTACATTGAATTTGAAATTCAGCAGCTATAATTTATTTTAACGTACGTTAGATCCGCCACTGTCCATACGGTATACTGAGATTTGGCTTAACTAGGTAATGTCAAATACGTAGGCTTACATTATAAAAAATGTCCCAGTCTATTAACTATTTATGTCGGACATGCGTAGTGTATAACATTGTATCGATAAACTTCTTCTGAATTATAGTGTTTTCATGCTACTGTTTTCTTCTTTATTAGGTGGATTTCTCATCGATTATTGAGCATGCTCAAACCATTATCGAGACGAATCACATGGAAAAATGTATGATCAAATACTTTTTTTGATATTATGTATTACGCTAGTCTTGTAGTCATTAAGTTTGCGTTCATGATCCTAAGCTGAAGACAAGAATGACACAGCTTGCACATTTTATTGTAATGATGAAGGCTTTATGAAAGATATTTTTATCATCGGATCTGTTGGTATTTGTTTTTTACATCTTTTTGGAAGAAGAGTCTTTTTGTAAATATTTCAGTGTCATTGGTCTTTGCGAGAAGGGAAACATTAAGAAATAAAATTTTAGGCCAAACACAGTCGAGGTTTCATCAGTAATGAGAAAAATTAGAAGGAGAATGGTGGACATAAGCTAAAGTAACGTGTGTATACTGCGGTGTTCATAGTTCAGTCGCGTACCGATGTTTATAGTTCAGTCACGATGATGTTTATTTTTGAGTCACGTGCATAGATTTATAATGTCTATTTTTCAGTCACATGCATAGATTGGTGATGCTTATGGATCAGTTACGTGCATAGATCTGTGTTGTGTATAGTTCAGTCACGTGCATATATCAGTGATGTTTATAGGTCAGTCGCGTGCAATGCTGAGTCACAGCCAATAACTCGTTATATTTCCTCTAGCAATCACTCTCGTCCGTGGTAAAATTGAAGAAGTCGCGTTACCTGTTGAGAAAGTGGACATAATCATAAGTGAATGGATGGGATATTGTTTGTTTTACGAATCAATGCTGAACAGTGTGCTTTTTGCTCGAGATAAATGGTTGGTATGTTGATTTCCAAAAATTATAATTTATGACATTTGTTAAAGAAGTTCACAAACAAATAAATCAACATTCTATATTTTTCGTTAATTTTTAGAAAGTCAACCTCACTTAATTTTTCCGTGAATTTATCAAATTTTGTTGTTGGAAGTGCTATCTTGAATATTCTATTGATGACTTAAGTTTATGATGTATTGTTGAATTGATATTATCAACGTATTTAAGGATTTTATGTGTTTCTGTAGGATAAGAAGGGGATAATGTTTCCCGACAAAGCTTGCCTATATATTTGTGGTATTGAGGACAGGCAATACAAAGAAGAGAAGATTTATTGTAAGTAAATCAGTTTTGCGCTGTTGTCCAATAATAAATGATTTATTGTTCTCTCTCGCTATCAATATGGCATTCACTTAACAATTTTCTTTTGAAAATATCATTTTTAGTTTCTAATGATTTTTAAAATCTTACATTATGTTCGAAACTTCGTTGTAACTTCTTATGGAAAGATAAGCATATACATAATACTTACGTTTACACATTGTATGACACCATATCATGTTTGCTTTACTCAAGTACTTATAGTAAAATGTATATTTTATTCAGGGTGGGATAATGTGTATGGCTTTGATATGAGCTGCATTCGTGAGGTGGCCATTACTGAGCCTCTTGTTGACGTTGTCGAAGCAAAACAGATTGTAACAAACTCGTGTCTTCTCAGAGTAAGTCATTTTTTCTTCATTTGCGTCGTCCCCAACTTTACAAAAATAGGTACATATTGTGTACATGTAGGTAGCCTTGACCTGAGTTACAGTACACGGAGCAAACAGTAGTCAATAGTCCCACTACTTGGTGTTGTATTTTTCTTTAAATAAATTACTGGCTGCCGCAAGCCACCTTAACATTCATATTGGTTAGATAATGCATTTTACTTTGTAGTGTGTACAAACAATTACATGGGACAGCAATGAGCTCGCCCGTTTCTGTTGTAGTTGCTGAAATTGTAATGCAATCTATAGAGGAACGGGCGCTCACGACTTACAAACATGCACTACCTTTTTGGTTTCGCTACGTAGATGACACAATCACAGCACTACATGCAGACGAGATTGATGACTTTCATACTCACATCAACAAACAGAACAGCCACATACAATTTACCAAAGATGTCGAAGAAAACGGAACTCTTCCTTTTCTCGACTGTTTGGTAAAACATGACAATCAAAAACTACGAAAAACAGTTTATCGCAAGCCAACACATACTGACCGATTACTAGACCAATCATCTTACAACCCTACATCACACAAAGCCACCACAATCAGAACATTAACAAGACGTGCACAAATCATATGTGATTCACCAGACGCTCTACAAAACGAAAACAACTATCTCAAACGTGTTTTTGACAAAAACAACTATAACTCTGACTTTATCAAACGCAACACTTACAAACCCAACGAAACGAACAACTCAGTGACAACAGCAACAATACCTTACATCAAAGGTACGTCTGAGACTATCTCGCGTATCTTACGACCATACATCATACCTGTCGCACATAAACCAATCAACGTTACGACAAGTACTAACGAACATAAAGGACAAAGAACAACCCAACGAACGACAAGGTGCAGTTTACAAAATAAACTGCTCCGACTGCCACGCCTCCAATATCGGGGAAACTGGCAGGAACTTAAACATAAGACTTACTGAACACAAACGAGCTACTAAGAAACAAGACTAAACTAATCACATTGCCGAACATCACCGAATCACAAATCACAACATTGACTGGGACTCGGCAAAATGCATTACTTACAGTACTGACTATAGACAACGGCTTACATTAGAAAGCTGGTATACCAACTTGGAACAAACCCCCCTGAACAGATCACAGCAATTACCGGCACCTTACAAACGACTTATTCACAATACAAACAAACGATCAACTAAAAACATTTCACTTCACACTAATTCACAATGACAATACACAATTGACACCCACACATTACAACTAAAAACATCACACCTAAATCACACATCACAACTAAAAATAAAATATTTCACTTCACACTAATTCACAATGACAATACACATTTCCTGTACACACAATACAATGACGTAAGGACCAGATAGCAAATACGGCTAACCTGACGTTTACTCCTCATTTGACTCTGAAGATGACTACCGCTAAGGTTGTCGAAACGTCAGTCAAGAACAACAAAAACAGTCCTTCTCAGGACTTTTTTAACCTGGACGATCATCATTTACAAACAGATAACGGCTTTGCCATATTGAATTAAAACGATTTTTTAAATAAATATTACATCCTATTTGTCTAACAATCGTGTAGTGAATAGAGACGTAGTTCTTTCATCAGGATATATCAAGCCAGTTTTTTGTGTTGTATGAATATTTGCTTATTAACGTTTTGATAGGACTATATTGCCGATGATTCTGTTCCAATTTAAATTTTCATGTTTATTGTTTAAATACGGAGGCATTTCACATGGTTAATACTAAATATATCATTGCTGATGTAGTTACTTTCCATAGGCCGTAGCTTGACTCTAATCTTAAATTTAAATTCTTCTGTATTTTTGACGTTCTGTTAAATCCAAATCGTCATCATTACTAATTGAAAAAGATTTAAAGACTACTATATCCTGTCTGCTTTACATTTTCCTCACCCAAAAAAACAGAACACAGGGGATAGATAAACAGCGTGACTTACGAATAAAATACCGAACAAAATACAAGCACGAAGTGCACACTGTATCAAGTTTATTGTATCTTTACATGTTTGTAAATGATGATCGTCCAGGTTAAGAAAGTCCTGAGAAGGACTGTTTTTGTTGTTGTTGACTGACGTTTCGACAACCTTAGCGGTATTCATCTTCAGATTTAGCTACAAACATGTAACGATACTACCGGGTTCAAACCATTTATTTTATTGTATCTTTTTGCCCAAACGAGATATATTTGACGTCTGTAATCACCAGTTAAACATATAAATGAATGATATTTTCAGCTGCAGAGTTTTGACAAAAGTCACTAAAACAACGTGAGGATTATGCGCTCTAAAGCACAGATAATTATAGAACGACATAAGCATTGACTATACTACACAAAACAATACTATTCGTCATCGTTAGCATATGAGACTATCACCGAGGACTCGGTTGAGGATATCACGACGTACCGACAGACTCTCACCCAGACACTTCTTTAGGTATAGCATAGTAGTTAGCCGCGCATGCGCAGTGGCTACCCTCAAAAACGGGTGATTTGTTCAAATACTTTTATGATTTTAATTTCATGCTTTTCATTGATTTTAATGTGAGGGCGGGTGCGCCTTTGAGCAGTTTAGTAATCTTAAAGTTAGTAAAATGGATGCTGCGTTTTATAAAACCAATGGTTAAAATGAGTTATGAAGTTCTAAAACAAAATTTAAATGGGAGCTTTAGATTTTACGCTGTCTTTGCTAAATTTGGATTTCAAAGTAGTAAAAAATCAGAAAAATGCGCAAATGAGACTGGGGCGATTTTATGAAATTCGCGATACAATAGGAACTTGTCGTTTTAATGACGATGGAAGTTTTATTCTTTGAGCTATTTCATTTAAATCCATTTAAATGATGTCCTTCCGTTGAAAATGATGACGTCATCGTGAATTCATTGGAAAAAAGCCTCAATGACGTCACCACAGTATGGAAACAAACAGTGGTCCCACTGTATGGATATTTTTTGGGTAGCGCATATCTTATTGCGCATGTGATTAGCATAGTGGCAGCCAGTAAATTGAATTTTCTGACCAATAGGAGGGCTTAGATAACTAGACGCAGTCAGTAATCTAATTAAATATACAGCACCGAGTTGCACAATGGAGTGAGACTACTGTATGTTTCTGTACTGTGCTCCTCACTGTATTTTCTGCTTAACTTTTGGGTTGTTTTTTTTTTTGAAATGTCATTTTTTATCTTTTAAATTGAACTACTTGCGACCATTAGGAAAATAATCTTCTACACAAATAATAAAAAAATATTTTATTCATTTACCAATAGTTGAACATAACGTAGTTGCACATCAGTAACCCGCACATCATGACTTTTCTAACATGCAAAATTTTGACTTCATTTCATATGTTTACCGATATATCAGAAGGGAGCCTTCCAGTTATATTTAGTTCAATGCTTAACATCCTTACAATTACAAAAATGGTTAAAAAACTTTTACTTCTCAAAAACAAGTTCAATTTAAAATTTAATCATTGTTTTCGCAATTTAAGTTTAGAACTTTGCTAATGACATAAAGTCTCATTTCCTGATAGCTGCACTTGAATAACATTCGAAGTTTTATAAAAATCAGTAAACTGTTTTGAACGAAGCATACAAGCTAATCGTCATCGCCTGTTGCATCTTCATTTTTGACTTGTTTGCCAGTTTTAAAAAATAAATTATAGAAATTGGAGGCATGTTTACGAGGGGAAAAGTTTTGTGGAGTTAAAAAAAATAATTTATCATGCATGGATTGGTTTATTGAAGAAAAAAAGTAGCTTATTTGGATTTGTTTTTATTTTCTTTTAGGAGATTAATATTGAAACAGTACAAAAAGAAGATCTCGAGTTCGATGTTTCTTATCAGTTGTTCTCTCAACGTGATGATTACATCCAGGCTCTTGTATCGTATTTTACCATAGAGTTTACACATTGTCATAAAAGAACAGGGTTTTCAACAGGTACTTATCCTCATTTTTGACATGGGAAAATTACAAAGTACTATTGGCAGAGATTGAGGTTTGATTATTTCGATAACTATGCTACAAGATACTGAAGTTTTACAAACTTTGATATAACGAGGAGTTTGATTTGCAGCTGATACTAAATGCTGTAGTTTTTTTTAATAAAATTTGAAATTTTGACAACTTCTCGTGAAAAAATTTTGTTTATGTTGACTTTCGTACCATGTCAGAAATTTCATTGCTCAATTCGTACGTATTTGTCTCATGACACATGATTTTGATTTTGTATTTCCCAGGTCCTGAAGCAAGATATACCCATTGGAAACAGACGGTGTTTTACCTCAATGATTATTTGACCGTTAAACACGGTGAAAAAATCGAAGGAACTTTTGCATTGAAACAAAACTCTAGAAATAATGTAAATGACTTTATTTTGTTGTCACCAAACTTATGTACCTGTACAATACTTAATTGTCTCGTTTTCTTTCGTATACTATAAGCAAGGCTAAAACTTTTGTTTTTTCATTTTGTTTAGCGGGATCTTGATTTCAAAATATCAATTGCGTTTGATGGCGAGTTGAGCTCAGTAAAAGAAGAAACGCAATACAAAATGAGATAATGACATAAGACTTGACATCAGGCAATGAAGAAAAGATCTTTTTGAAGAAAGAACGGCTCATCTGTCCAGTCCTTGCCATCTTTATAAACTTGCAACTTTTATGTTATATATAACTGATATAACCAAACTTTTTGTTACATATTAATGGAATAATCGTTTTCTTTACGTTTCTTACGCCCATTTTTCACCATGCATGACAAAGACTCCTGTAGAGAATAGGCTCGTGACCAGTTTGGTGTGGTAATTTGACTCATTAATCATTTGAATTTTTGCGTTTTTAATGCTTTAACCTTTCCGCATAAATATATGGTGCAAAAAACATGTTCTTTTAAGAGGCGTTTTACGAGGTAATCCATATTCATTTGTTGGAAATTTCGACCACAAACTTTCTTAGCGTAATGTCGTTTTATTTCTTTACTTAATGTAAATATTTATATTAGACAAACGTTGTGCGAGATTATTAAAAACGGCTTAACTATTTATGCTTTTATTTCATTGAAACACGATTGAACGCAGTTGCGTAACCTGCATTATAGTTTCTTATGTAGGTATTTCCGTGTTCACTCTTCCAAAACAATAAAAGAAAATAGTTGTATTGATTTGTAGTATACATAGCACAACTCCATATTGGTTTTTCTTCTCTTTATGAATAAAAAAACATGGCTAAAAAGGGACGTACAATAACCAAAGGCCAAGTAAAAAAATAAAAAGAGAGAATTGAAACCGAAATAATTGCTATCATGTAAGCTGTGACTCGCCGACAAAAGTATAATGACAAAGCAGCACTTCGTTGTCATAAGACAGCAGTCAGAGTCAAAAAGCAGCTTTACATCAATATAATAAATTAAAACCGTGACCGGACAAAACGCACTTCGCATAACGACATTTGTGGACTTCGAGTACACTAGGAAAATTTTAGTTTTCTTATATTATAAGGAGAAAAAAAAACGAGATTTAGAAAATATATTTTCTTCAACAAAAATTTTTGAAAGCTAATAACGAGCATCTTTTGGCGATAAGTTTAACTTTCAACATGTAATTATAATTTGTTACATCTATATTAAATCAAGAAAATTAGAACAGAAATCAGAAATGATCCCATCCTCCAGCACTAATTTCTTTTGAGTCGACAAACCAGATGTTCGATGCGTGTGTTGGAGGAGGGGCTTGTCGTAAGGAGCCATTACTTGATAACATATACAAATAATAATAATAATAATAGCTAATCTTTATTGAGGATGCCAACATCACTAAAAAGTGGTTTACAGAGGGGTCCTCTAAAAGTAACTAAATATAATATAACTATTTAAAAAGAAAAAGAAAAAGGAAACAAGTCGAAAATATGAAGATAAAACTTCATCATTTGAAAATTAACATGCTAAAAACGAAACTAATTAAAATAGTGCTTTCTTAATACCACACTTATATTGGCTTAAGATGGACACATCTCTTATTGAAAGGGGTAAGGCATTCCAAACGTCCGCTGCAAAATTTATTGTTATCCAGTGCCCCCATCTTCTGTGTGCGAATGATTTGCGTATATTTCGCTTTGATCGTGTATTATAGTTATGATAGTTACTGTTAAAACAGCAGTGAAAAGTGTGCATAAAAAGGTTATTAACTACCTTAAACATGAAAATAGCACGATGCTACGCTCTCCGCCTTTCTAGAGGTTTCCAATGGAGCCTTGAAAGTGCATCGCTCGCGGAAGCAGTAGGGGGAAGATCTAAAATGATTCGCGCAGCCTTATTGTAAAGGATCTGTAGCTCTGTCATAATTGTAGTGTCACCCCTAGGACCAAAAAATGACCCGCAAATCACCCCAGGACCAAAAAATGAGAACTTGAAATCATGCAAACCTCTTTCGCCAACCTATGTTGCCTGATCTAACCTAAGTTATATTAATACTTTAATGTTAGTAATGAATACTAACATTTAAGACCTGTTGCATACGTTGCATTTTGCACGCACCAAATACATTAAAGAGAAAAGAAAATGATATAAAACTCTTCATTGTCTTTTGTTTTAAATGCATTCAGCTCATGTAAAATGCTACGTTTGAAACGGGCATTTCTTTCATTGCATAAATGCAATTACCAAAATAACATACGCACATTGCAAAAGAATAAATATGATATATTCTTATACAAAGAGTCATTGAAAAGACCAAAATAGTATGGAGTAGAATAGTTACAAAATAAAGTTGGACGATTTTGCTGAACAAAGCAGATGCAATGCTGCAGAAGAACAATTTTTAAACCATAATAAGTGGTAAATCAGCTAATATGTTGTTTATAGCTCAACTGATTACCAGCTTTGCTTCAATAAGTAAAAAAAGACCAACTTTTTGAATAAGTTAAGTGAAAAAGATCGTCGAGAAAAAATTTTGTTTCAATTGGATAGCGAAAAAACGAAACGTGATTGTAGGAGTGGAAGTATGATTTTATGTGGCTCAGAGATTTGGAAACATCTCTTGAGTAAAGTTCACTGTGCAAATTCATATTTCGAGCATAATTTCAAAGTTATTACAAAATGTCGCTCATTATTTCAGTTACGCGTCTGGGAGTTGGTATTTATTAAGTAGACTAAAATTGTTTTTGTATGAAGATACTTGTGAATGATTTATTTAGAAGCAATAGAACTATAATGTAAGAATGGTGGTTCGTATTCATTTACGTTAGACATATAACTCCAAAATGCATATAGAACTTAATTTTCAAAACATAACTTTTTTTATAAGCAAAATGTTTTGTAACATATGCATGCAGTTCCAGAGTATTTCATAATCCAGTCTTAATAATGCTTATTAATTATCAGCTAATACGAAAAAAAACTCTGAAATAGTGGAAGAACTTCACTTTATTTGTCCGCGTGCAAAGTTTGCAAAACCCTTTAGTTGGTCGATTAGGAAAGTATAGACTGAATGAATCTTCGGACAATAAAAATGTTGCAAATAATAAATATTTTCATAGTGAGAATTGTATAATTTCAACACTTTTTAAGTATATTTGAACAAAAAGGACAAACCTAAAAAGCAGTTGGAACAGTTAGGGTTAAAACACGGCCGATGTTGTTCAACGAAACAAAATTACAAGAAAGTCGGCTTTAGACCAATACATGTACATAAACGCTGGGAATTAAAAGTAAGAGCTTTTTTGTGTTTAATCAGCACATAAATGCCATTTTCAAAAAACTTTAACAAATTATTTCTTGGTTTAAGCTCAAAATTTAGATACAACCTAAGTTGTTCGCGTACGTGTGTTGTGTACAAGATTATGTCATCGATTATATTCAATGACAGGATTCGATATTTTGGTACCTCCATCTTCCTTTGTAAATCCATTCATCAGTAAGCGCAATACTGCACCAATTTTTGACTGACCAATATCAAAGTACGTAACCTATTAAAACTTTTCTTAAAGATAAATAAAGATCCAATCATAAAGACATTTCATCTAATGCCATAAGTTGTCATTATTTGAAATAACTGTCTACTTTATATATCAGTAAATAATTTCTACTTCTGTTCTAGTATAAAACAATAGGGAAGCTTATTGCATCCCATTTTTCAAAGACATAGTACTATGCAGATTAAAAGCCATCTTAATAAAAATGTAAGCAACGACAAAATATTTAACAAATAACCTTTGTAACCTTTGGTACACTGTTTAAAGTACACAAATAAATTAAGGCTTTTCAAGACAGTTCTAAAACGGTCCAGAGAATGTCTAAGATAAAAAGAATAGCCAAGATAATAAGCAATGGTCAAGATAGCAACAGTTATGAAGATAATAGAAATTGCTCATAAATTAGTGTGAATCATTAAGTGCTCAATAATTTATAAGAACAACATAATAAATATCATAACGTTTTTTTTCAGATAAGACTTTAACTAAGAATCCCATGTTAAGTTCAGCCAATAATTCTCCACGAAAACTACTTCACTACTTTCAGACTTACATTCATGTAAGGCGTTTTTTTATGTTCTGCATGTCATTTTTACCACAAGTAAATTATGAATTAAGTGGTTTAAACCCAAAAGTATCATTACATGTTTGTAGATATAGATCTTTAAGTTGGCATAGTCCTGAGAAGGACTATACCAACCCGGACGATCTACATCTACAAACATGTAACAGGTAAATTATGATGTTTAGTAACAAATTTGAAGTATTTGCATGCAACATACAAAAACAAGCTTTCGCCACCCACAGTAATCAGTGACGCATTTTTCATGTTTGTTTCCCCACAACAGAAAAATGTCAAGTGTTGAATTTAATAGAAGAAAATGAACAACTGTGACAACAAACTATTTGAGATTGTAAAATACGGCACTCTATTAAGTATAAGTTTGACGATAAAGTTAATACTCAAAAGGAAACCTTTCAAGCGGAATATATTTTGCGCATTATTAAGTTCTGAGCAATTATTCATGCGTGATTTCTAGTTCTATTTTGTATACATGCATTAATTTTTTAAAATCAGAAAAAAGAAGAAAATAAATGCCAGTTACACTACTTAAGCAAAAAATTTAACAAGGTCTTATTTTCATGGCTGTGAATTTTAAGGAGTAGTAATGGCCTTTCCACGCTACCCAATTGATACCATCAGCATATGAGGAGTGTTCACCATGATGATAGATCCCGTTTAAATTAGAACCATGACAACTTTTATACCACCATGCGCCTTTATACACGCTTGCACAATTGCCAGGTGATTTATCGTTATCAGAATCTTTCGTCGAAAATGCCATTCCTTTGTGGAGTTTCAACGAATCACCGGCAGTTCCTAAAAATGTGCACAGAATAATTCAGGTCATCATAAAGATAAAGTTGAGCCTAAAATGTATATTTCTTATGCAAAACTTTGAGTTGTAAAGCTTTTTGCAATGTCTGATACAAATAGACAATCATCTGATAGTATTATTTATTAGTTACTATGGGAGTGAATGTAACAAATTGTATTTTGATTTGTAAAATCTTAAAAATCTAAATTGTTTATGTAACACTGTTGCAAGTGCTTTAGTTTTTTAAAAAGATTAACATTTGACAATATTGCTTTCGTTTGAAGTGGTATGAAGATAAATTTCAATCTTGTCACTTAATCCTAAAATTTCTTATCAACTAAGAAATAATTGAAATTTTTCGTAATATTACAGGCAAATCCAACTAAAGTGTTGAATGATAAACTGAAATAAAACAAAAAAGTTTAAAGTCTGGAGAAAAGACATACTTTAGGGAGCCTCTGTCATTTTTAAAATTCACAAAACTTTTTTTTTCTAAATTTCATTTGACTACTAGATACCTATCAGCATTTTGTACCTGAATATGTTCCAAGGTCCAACTTGTATTTCTGCATTTCACTTGCAACAGAAAAAAAATCATATTCAGCGTATTTTTTGTGTCCTTTAGTGTCTTCCATGTCAATGCGAAGCCTATTCTTTGTTCTAGATGTCAGTCTGTTTATTTTATCTAATCCAAGCCAAAACTCTGATTTTAGAATTCCAAAGCCATTTTTGTAAACTTGCCATCCTCTGTAGAAATCAACACTACCATTAAGACGACGTTGAAACACGGTCCAGCCACCTAAAGATGTCTTCATGTCACACCAGACATTAAAACTGCCACGATTGCCGGGATCAATTTTGTAGATTCCGCTGACTCTTTTGCCATTTTCGTAAAGATCTGCGCAATCTTTTACTAGGAAAAAATATTCACTATTAAAGAGAATCAACAATTTTCTGTTTCTGACGTTAGCTAAATGCATTCAAAACATGAAAAAGCAATTTTTCGTCAAATCGCTTGATTGCGAGTTTCATTCAATTACCCAGCAGTTTAAAGCTGTTCATAAGATTATTATCTTCGTAAAAACGAGGATTGGTTTAGGATAAAAATTGACCATTGTATTTTAAAGAACATTTAGAAAAACCTGTTTAGAGGATTTTTGTTCGTGATTTACTTGAAGCTTGCAAGATGTTTTATGACGTTTGAGGCTTTTGAATAGAATAACTCTGTAAATTTTTGACATTTTGTGCATGTCATTAAATCTTACGTCATGTAACGTTAAGTTAGCAACTTCTGGGTTTAAAAACAAGATTTTCATCTTTTAAAGACGATACTTTGGCTAATCTTTCACTGCAATTAATTTTCTTTTGATCAAGCAAATAAGCATTATAATAAACTGGTTTAAAGTTTAATAAATCTTTCTTTAGTTTATGGAAAACTTGCAGAAAAAGTGTTTATGGAAGTTCTGCATTTATTATGTCTTAAATATTTATGTAAGTCAATTGGTGTTTTAAAAATGGTCTGTGGTTCAATATAAAAAAAGAGAATAATTAGCTGTAAGAAGTGGTTTCAAAGTAATTTTTTGAAATTGCTATTATACATACTTAAATGTAACAAAAATACCTTGATGGTGTCGTCATTTACAGAATTGATTATAAGACTTTGTCGTTAATCCTTTAAGTAAGAACTTCCGAATTAAAGGTGCGAATTTTCCCTTGCAAATAATGTTTGTTCTATGTACATTTAATGTTAATATTAAAAAAAAATTGTCTAATTTGTTTTCGGTGGGGAGGGAAGGGTTAACAATTTGTTGCAGATTTTCAACATAGCCGCTTAAGGGTAAAGATGTTATATTATTTAATATTATAATAACTTTATTTATATGTGTTTTTTAATTTTTAACATTATTAAAAAAATTTGTAATTTTTTTTTATTTAAAATATGACTGTATACACATAATTTTTCATGTTTAATAGTTATAAAAAATACTTATAACGAAATAATGTGCAGAATCATGTCTATTTACATATGCTCTGAACAAAATATTTTTTGCTTCTGGTAGGCATAAGCACGCAATGCTGCAGTACATTTTGGAATAGCCATCTTTACAAAAGCAACAGCGACCCTTTTTTCTTTTGTGTGATGTGGCCAATGGCTAAATCCATAATATCGAATGTCATTCGTTGGGGATGGCAAAATAATTTACATGATGGCGTAAGAGTATTGAGCCTACGTTTAACAGTCAGGTAAAATGACAAAGACCTATATTTGGTGAGTAGAAGTTTAGGTGAGTAGAAGTTGGTGATGGCAAAACAGTGTATATAATGGCGTAAGAGTATTTAGCCTAAGCTTAACCACTCAAGTAAGATGAAAAATACTTATACTTGGCTTTAATTATACATAAATGAGGTTTAGGAGTTTTTTTTTGTTTAATTTTTGACGCGTTGCATAATTATTTAAGCCAAGGAATATTTTATACGCAACTTTGCAGTAATCGAAGTGTAAACCAAATACCATTCGAAATATAATTTGCCTAACCTTTTGAAGTTAGTAAAGATCATTTTTTTGATCAAATATCTAGTCTTAGTCTTAAAAACATACAAGAAAGCTTTTACCAAACGAGCTTCAAAAAGATGTAATATAAATAAACTTGCCATTAAACTAACGTCAAATTTGTAAAATTAATATTAAATTAATTGTACCTAAATGTAGGGCAGTAAAAACTTTCAATTTAGCAAAGTCATTAATTTCTTGACCGAGCAACTATGCGGACTTTATTCTTATTGGTTGGTTTGTTTCAATCATAATAGCATCATAATAAGTACAAAGAAAGAGCAAAGGTTGTATTCATGAAATAATGAATATATGAATGAAGCTAATACGTTTAATGGTAAAATCAAAGACCCATACCAATGCCAAAACTCCTTGTCAAATGTGTGTAAAAGGCTATCAAAATCATGCAAAAGTCATTGCTTTAATTCATTTTAATAAATTTGTTGGCAGTGTTGGTATCCACTTGGCAACCTTGCAGTAATGTACACTAATTTACAGTGAGTTCAGAAAAATCGGATATTAGAGTGCCAGGAAATACTTTAAATAATTCATCAACACAAGGCTCCAGATAAAAAAATTGTGCAATTTCTTTCATTAAAATAACTTTGGACAATGAGTTTTATGTACCATCAATAAAATAAATAATTGACCTTACAGCAAATGATGTGGAGGAGTTACACCCACTTAAGAAAGATTGGACAGTGGAAGCACTTAGTTCTACAATGATAACATGACAGTCATCATCTGACAGATTCCCTAATTTATCTTAACAAGTTTATATTGTACAAAATAATTTACAAATAAACGTATGCTCAAAGTTGTTTGAAGAGCAAAATTTATCTTACACCCAAAATTTTGCAAACCACTTGCAACGAAAATATGATATTCAATTTTCTAGTAAATTGTTAAAAAAATAAGAACATGAAGTACTTTCATGAAAAAGGGATTTTTCTAGGCCATTTCTGACAAAGGTGGTTCATGTGACTACATTTTTATGTATAAGTCATGAAACTGACTAACTAGATTGACTTTAGTGTAAGTTAGCAAATAATCTAACATACGTAAACTAACCTAAGCAATAAATCCTTATCTCTTTCACCAGTAAATCAAAATTTTACAATAAAGAAGAATAAAGTAAATGATTTGAACCCGGGAGTATCGTTACATATTTGTAAATGTAGATGGTTCGGGTTGGTATAGTCTTGAGAAGGACTGTTTTTGTTGTTGTTGACTGACGTTTCGACAATCTTAGCCGTAGTCATTTTCAGAGTAAAATGAGGAGTAAACGTCAGGTTAGCCGTATTTATTATCTGGTTCTTATGTCATCGTATTGTGTGTACAGGAAATGTGTGGATGCAATTGTGCATTGTCATTGTGAATTAGTGTGAAGTGTAATGTTTGAGTTGTGATGTGTGATTTAGGTGTGATTTAGGTATGATGTTTTCAGTTGTAATGTTTGGGTGTCAATTGTGGATTGTCATTGTGAATTAGTGTGAAGTATAATGTTTTTAGTTGATTGTTTGTTTGTATTGTGAATATGTCGTTTGTAAGGTGCGGGAATTGCTGTAATCTGTTAAGGGGCGGTTGTTCCAAATTAGTATACCAACTTTCTAATGTAAGCCGTTGTCTATAGTCAGTACTGTAAGTAATACAATTTTACGAGTCTCAGTCAATGTTGTGCATTGTGATTCAGTCATTTTCGGCAATGTGATTAGTTTTGTCTTGTTTCTTTGTAGCTCGTTTTTGTTCAGTAAGTCTTATGTTTAAATTCCTGCCAATTTCCCCGATATAAGGGACGTGGCCGTCGGAGCAGTTTATTTGTAAATTTCCTTCACGCCTCTTATATCGGGGAAACTGGCCGGAATTAAAACATAAGGTTTACTGAACACAAACGAGCTACAAAGAAACAAGACAAAACTAATCACATTGTCGAACATCGCCGAATCACAAAGCACAACATTGACTGGGACTCGGCAAAATGCATTGCTTACAGCACTGCCAATAGACAAAGGCTTACATTAGAAAGTTATATAACGAACAACCCTCTGAACAGATCACAGCAAGTAACGGCACCTTTAAAACAACAGATTCCCAATAAAAACAAACGATCAACTAAAAACATTACACTTCACATTAGTCCACAATGACAACACACAATTGACACCCACATATTTCCCGTACACACAATACAATGAGCCAGATAACAAATACGGGTAACCCGACATTTATTCCTCATTTGACTCTGAAGATGACTACCGCTAAGGTCGAAACGTCAGTCAACAAAAACAAAAACAGTCCTTCTCAGGACTAAACCAACCAGGACGATCTACATTTACAAACATGTAATGAAGAATAATATTATATAAATTAAAGTGCCTGAGCACTACGCGCACATTGTTCACACATCCATATATGCATCCGTTTCTGAAATATTCGGATATTTGCAATCGGAAGGTCTAAGAGAATAATCGATCAAATCTAAAAAATGATCACTTTCTCACTCTAACTCTCAATCATTTCCTCCCAAAAGATTTATCGCGTTATCTTCGCCATTACGTGGTTTGTTGGACATAGGATGTGGCTCCTTTGAACCTGCCGTAATGGCTTTATCTAAGGCTTGTGTTGCTTACTCTGAGTGAATGACCACCATATTAATTCCATTTGATACATACATTATTAAGGGCCATAAGCATAATTGAGTTATTTTTATCATCTATAGCAAGTAACTACGTCAGAAACTGACCTTACTGTTGCACAAAGCAATATATGTCATTCTAACTCAGCGGAAATGGCAATTTTAAAAATTCACAAGATCATGCTCTTTCACGTTATTCCAATTTTGCAGTTTTGTTGACCCTCCATCTGTCACTGAATTTCAACATGAGAGTTAAGTAGAGTATGTAATGGAAAGTGATAATTCCCTTGTTTCTACCTTCAAAAACTGGCAGTTTTTGAGTATTTCACCATTGAAATTTCAATTAATTAATGTCATTCGCAATCGATCAACGCAATTTTGATAACGTAATTTCGGAGATACTTGACGTAGGATACTACATAAAATGCAGGTTCTGCAGTTTTACACACATTTCTAAATGAAGTTTCGTTAAAATCCGCTGTCTAGGCAAGCTTCAATCAGAAAGCTATGGAATGCTTACCAGTGTTTTGAGCAAAAAGTTTGAAGTTTTCAAACTGGAATAAAATGAAAACATGGCCTTAAACTCATTTGAGATATTTTAGACCATTTCTCTTTTAGGAAGACTATTTTTTTGAATAATCTGGAACGTGTTGTCCCCATTTTAGGGCAACGTGTTATGGATTAAAGCGGACACTTGTGTTAGTTCTGAACACTATATTTTCTGAAATTTTTCGACCCATTATTTTTTTGTTCAGACGTTATGTTTTTTTATGTCCAGAAAACACAAGAAAAACTCTTAATATTCAAATGTGGTATAGGGACTGACAGAAAAATATAAAATATTGATGCCGGCTTTTTAATCAGCATTCAGTCAATCTATTCGCGTTATTTTTGACATTTAGCACTAAAATCATTATCATCGTTATTTCCAAGGTGCAGTCACGCAATTAATAAAGGAACCCAAATAAGTCCATTTGAAAACAGCCCTCGTGCATGGTTGAGCATTTAGTTTACACTTACACTCAGAATAAGGATTCAAAGTTTAAGGAGCCGATGGAGTGCCATCCAAGTTATAGTAGTTTTTATCATCAAACTGCCAACCTTGACCAACTGGTGTGAGAAAATCTATTCGTTCATATCGAAAATATGCTCTATTTATCAGGTAGACTTTGCTACGTTTGATATATTCGATCTCTGTAATGCGATATTGCCCTATGCAATAGTGCAATATATATTTTATAAAATCCTGACGGTGTCATTAGACACACTTGGGACACGGTGCGAAAAATTGTTGAAAACTAGTACTTTTTATAACGGTCATGACGTAATCAATAATTAAGGGGGTTAATCATATATGCAAAACAAATATTTTGTAAAAAATTTTTTGTCAGCAAGAAATATTATATACCTTCAACCATTTTGCAGCATTTTAATTTGTCAATGTTGTGTAGCCAGTCACCTCCTGGACTTCTGAATAATCCTGTTATGTAATAACCAGCTTTTTTGCATATTGCCCATCCTTTTTTGTTAAACTTTTCACTGATGTCTTCATCGTAACAATCACCATACTTGTCTGGATGATTGACTGGTTTGCAACATTTTCCTTCCTCAATATTGTGTAATTTACTGCCTTGTGCGCGATAGAGACCATTTAAAAAATAACCATAAGAGCAAACACCCCAAATGTTATTTCTAAAATACGATATTGAAATCAAAAGAAAATAGAATTTATCAATTCCATTCGTTCAAATATTCTATAAAAGTCTTAAAACGACATAGAACAAACTATGTCTTACTGTGTCTTGGATTTTTGAAAGTTTACGGTGTAACGACTTGGTTAAATTACATAAAAAATATATCTGTCAGGCTTTTAGTTCATAAGTACCTACAGAACCCAACAAATAAGAAAACTATTTTTGCTACTTGGGGGAAGGCTTTGCTTTCTTTCTAAAATGCTGATTAATTATCAAATATTTTATCTCAATAACAGCTTAGAAAAGACATTGTATAACGTAGGAAATTTTATAAATGACAAAATTAGATGTAGTATTTTTTTGCTTAACATTTTTAATTACTTTTTAAACCCTCCTTAAAGTGCTAATTGGTATTCTATCAAATATACTCACTTAGTTTTAGAGGTTTGCCAGCTAACATTTTGACATATGCTACTTTGCCCTTTATATATATTATTTGACGAACAGCATTTAGCTTGTTGGAGTTTCTTAATGCCATCACGATTTGTACTGTTGAACTGAAGGCGCCTAAAACCAGTTATGAATTTGTTGTTGGACCCACAAGTTGACCAACCTTTTTTGTTAAATGATTTCTGCCAGCCTGCGTTTATGCAAGACTGTGGTTTACCAAGGTCTAAAAGGAAAAGTTCTGTTATATTCTTTATTCAAATAAACTGATATTTTATTCACGTATACTTTCTTTGAGTTTGTTGTAAAGAAAACAATCATTTCCTCCTCATATCTTCCTTATTAATATGCATGCACTTAAAGCTAATTTTTTAATGAAAATCTTGCTTTTTTCAAAATAAAAGTAAAACAATGAGAGCACCCTCAATAAGTGAATTTTTAAATTTGCTTACATACATGAAATCTATAAGAAAGTCAAAACGAACCCCCGATATTTCTACAAAAATATTTTAGAAAATTTTCTGTAAGAACTTGGAGTCTCGTTGATTTTATTACATCAAATCCTGGCAAAGTAAATATTTTGCATGGAACTTATTTTTTTCTAAATTATTAGCTACTGTGCACTTAGAAATGGAAAAGACCACCAAAAAAGACCATTGTATCATTATGTGTATCGGTTAGTTGTCGTGTGGTAGTCTTTCTTCTATGTGTGGGAATAAATGTAATAAAACCTCCAGACATCAGTGTGATTATTTATCATGGCCACGGCATCAAACCCAACATAACCTAGCGGTGACATGGTAACCGGATCAAATTGGAGCATATACTTTAGATTTTTCTCAAGTAAATCGACCTTTATCTTCTGTGTAGTACAGTACGATGTTGATGAATATGAGTCTTTGCAAGGACTTCTTTCTTTCTTAAACCAATTATATATAATGGACTTGGGCAAACGAAACAATGAACTCGTCACAAATTGATTCATATTGTGTTCGATGTATAGGGATTTAAATATTTGAATGGCCTTGCTTTGACAGAATTTAAAACTAAGAGATTGATGGTGACAAAGGAAAAGGTCGTTTTGTTTCTGTTTATAACAGCTAAGTAAAATGCTTGAAAGAAATGTATGTATAGACATAAGTCACACATATTTGTAAAAGATGACAGTGATGGACTTTTTTATTATTACAAAACACTTTTTTGAGTCACCATAGTTAGTAGCCATGTAATCCAGCAACTGTCTTTCTCTGCTTGTGTGACATGTTATACTCACAGCTATACAAAAAATACTTATTTTTCTTAATTGTGCCTTGAAAAATAATGAGTTATAAAAGCTATTGGGTATATTTGTCAATGAGCCTTAGCTATGAAACTTTTATTTATGCCTTTGTGATTTATTAGCCTATTTTATCTAAAGCTTGGAGTTTTATTCAATTTTTTTCTACTTTTTAAATCATCAAACAGTAGCTAGAGCTTTCTGAGTCTTAGAAAAGTATTGGTAGGCAAGATTGCATGTACATTAAAAATAAACATTTTTACACAGGAAATTCTTGATGAAATATCAATAAAACCCCACTAATTGTCTGTAATTTATATTTACTGCTTGTGTAATAAACCATGTGCAATTTATAGTGTATATATATCAAGCAACATGGACCTTCACCATGCATGCTAATGAATGTTTCATGTATTTAAAAAACTAACATAATTGTATATCATGGAGCTGATATACAAAAGAGTAGTCATGAATAAAAACTGTTGTAAAGCTCATGTATCTATATGTATTATTATTTTCATATTTAGCACAACATTCATACTGTAGTACCTTTTTGTTTTAACATAATCTAGCTCATTTTTCATAGAGCAACGAATTTATATGATGCATAGGATATTCAAATCAAGCAGAATGCATAGGGAGTGCAAGAAGAATGCATAGGGAATGCATAGGGAATGCAAGCAGAATGCATACTCAATGCTCGAGCATGGAGTAAATATTACTTCGTAATATTCACATCATGCTCTGTGCTGCCGAGCCCCCTCTGAAACGATGCTTGTTAACACTTGATTTCTAAAGATAGTTTTTAAAACATATAGATTCCATATTTTAAACAATAGATTGTAAACTCGAGATTTTTACCCCCCTTTGGAAACAATTGTTTGTTAAAGAAAGTTTTTACCCAAGGTTTAAAAGTAGTATAGTACATGGGGGATATGAGAGCACTTTCTGTGCTCTCGTACCCCCATGTACTATACTACTTATATACAATAACCTAATATAGCTTGATTTTGAATTAACCTTAAAATAGGGATAATTGTAACCCAAAATCCTTTCACCACATAGACATGGCTCGTAATCACTACAACTTATGATAATTTTCATCTCTTAAAACTAGCTAACTGTAGAGTTTTGTTAATGACAGGTGCATTCGAAGAGGCATTATAAGTATTGATATAATTAAGGATAAATTATAAACAGAGCGATAATTTGCAATTCGTCCTAAAAGTTTTTTAAAAAACCTAAAATGCTAAACGCACTGGATTCTTTTTATATAAATACATAAAATACATTTATTATTCTGCAATGTGCGTATTGGGCGAGGTCTGTACAAAAACACCTCGGCCCGATATTTCTCAGTAAAGATCGAGAAACGAGGTTTTTAGAAGGATTATGATTTGGCATTATTTGCTCTGAAACAAAGCTTGCTTTCTTTTTCACCCTTGCTGTTTTTTACGGGTTGGCTTTCACTTTTATAGTTTTCGTCCATAAAAAATTAAATCGTTTCACATTGTATCGTCTTGATAGTTAAACTGTTTTCCAAACGTTTTTCCTTCGAATCACATTCGTAAATGCTTTTTTGTTTTGTTTAATTTGCGTTTTGCTTTTAGAAAGTTTGTGTACATTTACTGTCAAATTACGCAGTTTGACTGTGGTCGATTACGGGAAAATAATGGGCCGGCAACAATGTTTCTGAGCCAATCAAAGAGCGCCATTTTTCCGGAAATGAAGCTAGCCATATAATAATAACATTTAAACATTTTTAATATTTTTTGTTTCGATTTTGAAGATAAGTGATGAAATTTCCGATTAAATACTGTGCTGTTTCTTATTTTATAATATCCTTTGGTTTTATGCATGGCTCTTTTGAATGCACTCTTCTTGTATGCAATCTTTAAATTCAAAATGAACGCGTTGAAACTAAACCCTTTAGAGGGCAAGTTTTTATCTCAGTTGTGTGTTAAGCAATTAACACCAGGTGTTTTCTGCAACACAACATGTCCAAATAGTTTTAATAACTTTGGCTCGCATTATTTTTTTCAATTTGAAAGGAACACATCAAAATGTTGTGCTTAAACAAATGCTTAAATTAAAAAGCATTTGATTATATTTTCCTTGCTTTTCTTATTAGCAAATGTACCGACTTTTTCTATAATGTGTCATAGTTACAAATGTGAGGAGAAAATTTCACATTTGAATAACGGACACTACCAAATGTGTTTGCAAGTGCTTTTAAGCTTAAACCTTTAATAGATTCTTTAAGGAAGTTTAATACTTTAAATTATTGATTTACTTTGTCGAAGATCAATATGTTCATAAAGTTATAACATCCATATATATATATTGTTTAACAGTGTAGGCAAAAGTTTGGTGCAATACTTGAATCATTATATTATTAATACTTAGAGCATAATATAGATAAAAATAAGTTAACAAAACACCAGTTTTTGTTTGTAAGCAAAGGATTCGGATAAAATTCAAGCGTTAATATTTCATGAAACATCAATATTTGCACAGCTGTGTAAATTGTAGCTCTTTGAGTAAATTACACCAATATTTGTTGCTACATAACAAAGATTATTATTGGTTGCTTCAATAATTTAATAAGCAAATAGTTTTAACTATGGCACGCATTATGTTTTCAGTTTGACAAAAAACATAGCAAAATGTTGTACTCGAACAAATGCTTAAATTTAACAGCTATATTATTATGCTTGCTTTATGTTCTTGGTAGTAGCAATTGTTTTGATTTTTGCTATAATGCTTTATACAAGGGTAAGAAAAAAGTTTGATGCCTTTATGAGAAGTTTGCGCTTGGCCTAGCGTGAAATATTACAGCTATTGGAAACTTTACCAAACTGACAATGACAGGGTATTTTTTCTTAGGTTGGAGATTTCAAGGGAATGTATTTAAAAAAATCGAAGTACAAAACGAAATAGAATGCATCGTAAAATGCTTTAAAGAGCCATGTTGTCAATCTCTAAACCACAGAAGAAGGTTAAGCCAAGGACGTTGGAGTCTGTGTGAAATGTTACACAGTGTTCTAAATGACAGCAGCCGACAAAATTTAAAACAAAATCGATTTTATGATTATGTTTTCTTCAACACACCGATCAAAGTAAGAAATAATTTTGAAGTTTGTGTGTTTTATTTATGCAACTAAAAGCAAGTAGCTTAACCCAAAAAGAAAATTTTAGAAATGTTTTATGTATTACATGAAAAATAAAAAACTAAAACAAAAAAGACCACTCTATCACCAAAAATTTACCTAGACTTTCCTTTTCATCGTAACTTTTTCAAATTTTTTTTGTTTAACTTTTAGATGTACAACAAAAGCTGCAAACTGCAACAGCGTAAGTAGTTCGTAGCTACATTATATTTATATTCATAAACTTGACTTATGTTTCATTCAATTCATCTAAGCCCTCAACAAAAGTTACGATTTGGTATTTCCCAATGCTCATGTCGAGAACTTGATTCTTCTCGATAATGTGATGCCTAATATATCAGAGATGACATTGGCATTTTGGGTAAACACAGTTACAAGGCGAAGGATGGCGCTGTTTTCTTATGCTGTTCAGAACAGTCCTGACGAATTCTTTGTGGGATTTGACGCAGAACGGGTCATCATTACAATAAAGTCGTTGACAAAAGAGTAAGAACAATTAATTTTATTGGTTTAAACCACGGTTAAACATTCATCAATCTGCTAAATTTTGAAATTTGAATTAATGTGCAAAATATTTGTATGCTTTTGGTAAAGGATATTTTTAGATGCACAACAGACTTGTATTCGGATTCAGCGTTTATACATTATTGATTTATACATCATTATACATTGTTTTGTAAAAACCATGTTTGTCAAATGTGATTGGCTAATTATTAATTACATGATTTGAAATGAATGCGATGTTTCCTACCTAAGAAAAACGTGACAAATTACTGCCCGCAAATTTCAATATCATAAAAAAAACCAAAACTAAAAAGATTTATTGCACTTGTAGTAAGCAAGAAAATTTTACTATTAATAAGAAACAAGGATTAAGAAAACATTAAAAAATAGTTAAGAAATGTGTTTGTCAGCCTTATTGCATTACGCAACAAAATTTTGATGGACAAATCTCGCCGAAAGTCATTGAGTTTATTAAAAGGCAATGACAATAAATGGTCTTTGTTCTTATTTAACAAAACACTTATTGTACGTCCAACAGAAAATAGTAAGTTTTGTTATCGTTTGAGTCTAAGTCAATGTTTCTTCCGAGCCTCTAGGAAAAAAAACGCACTACTTTCCTCGTGAGCATAAAGTAAGCGAACAATGTTAATACAATATGATGTAAGCATTATATGCACTAAAAACAAAGTATTAACTTTTAATTGTTTTCGTTTTTCAATTTCCAAAGTCAAGAGTTAAGAAAAGAGTGTGTAGAGCACAAAGACGGCACATTTGCGTCTTTTATGCAATATTAGTTAGTTTGCAGCAGAATGCATCCTTCTGTTAGGAGAAAATTCAATGGTCTTGATTCTTAAGAATGTTTAATGATGGATGATCTTAGGGGAGATATAAAGTGGAAAAAAGAAATATTCAACGCAATGAATAGATGGACCCAACAATTATTCATATATTTTTGCAAATGGTTGAGAGAATCAATTTAGAAGTAGTAGTGGAGGTAAATATACACAATTTGTCATATTGTTTCATTTAAAAATAAAATAATAAAGGGTTATGGACTCTAACCTAAAACTTAAAAATTCATGCAGTTACCCAATTAGCCATTTTAAACAATGGTTTTAAATGCAGAAAATTACAGTAAAACACCGAGAAAGCCACTAAATAGTAGAAAAGAAAAGATGAAGAATATGTTGTTATATTTTTAATCCATGTGTATAAAACAGATGATTGCTGTTAGAGTGTCGAACATAGATAAAAAAGACAAAAAACAGTAAAATTTCACTCAAGCAGGCTTCGTATAATTTTAACAATTAAATTAAGTAAAAATTGGAGCAAAAAAAGCAAGTGGGTTTTAAAAAATGTGTAAAAGGTGTCTAGTGATTTCATTATCTTTACAAAAGATACTTTAATGTTAAAATGAAAGAAAAGAGAAACGTGTGGAAGAAACGTAAAATACAAAGAAATGGATAATTTTCACAAGAAATTGCTGTAGCAGTATTTAAGAAGATGAGAAAAGGAAAAGTTTTAAAATAAGATAATATTTTAGTGAAAGCTTCATTATGCACTAAAAAATTGAACAACGCTCTCTGATTTTAAACAGATTGCTGCTTTGAAAGAAAATGGTGGAGAAGTAAAATAGGAAAATGTTTGATTTCTTATATTAGAATAAAATAACAAATGCATGGGTGCTTTATTAAGTTATTATTAAAGAGGCTAATAAAAAAACACCAGATGAAATAATAAAAAATAAACATTTTTAACAAAATTTAAAGTTAAAAATGTTGCATACTGATAGAAAATTGAATAACATCTTAGTGCGATGTTTTTTATGGATGCTAATATTTAACTAAACTCGTGTTATTGCATTTTTAATTTGAAATGAAGTTTCTTCAAACGATTTTGTTTATTTCAAGATCATCATATTTCTAGTCTATATTTTTCGTATAGCAACATTGCACATTTCATGTGCACCCATATTAAAAATATAGTATGCATATTGTAATACGAGTTTACTTCCTAAATGATAATAACCACTAAAATCACCTATAGTCGTTTGGTTTTCGTTTGAAGAAAAATGTACGAAACCATGACGCATGCTAGAAACATGTAAAACAAGCAACGTTGAAAGGTCAAGGCCACAGTGTAATAATCTGGATTTTGTTTCTCAAAATCCAGATTATTGGATGTTGTTAATACACCATTATTATTAATAGAGAACACACCATTTGGGTCGCCCTTATACACAGTATAAAAACTCTGTGTAGTGGATTTGGTTGCTGCATTGATGCTCCCAATGTAAGTTTCATGTTGAACACTTTCCTTGACTGTGAAAAAATACAAATGCCTTTCAAAGACAGGTAGCTCATCATCAAACAGTATAATAGTGATATATACCAGAGATGCAGCAGTCACGTGATTAGTCTCTGCTATTTTTTGAGCACTTAATGACATTAAAAATGAATGACGTTGCAAGACCTCCGTGCATCAAAAATGTATGAAATTTTGAATTTTCATTAGCTTTTTCAACTCTGTTGCTAACATTTTTCTACAAATCATTTTACAATCATTCGTTAATAGTATTTTTTTCTTTATACCAGCCAATGCTAATATTCGTGTGGTATTTCTCATTTGAATCTTTCTTGTTTGATAGAAACCTTCACATTTATCCAATCTACGATGGTTATTGGCACCACCTGGTCATCATCCTCACTCTGATGACTGAGAGGATTTTTCTTGATGGTACTATGATTTTAAACGAAACTATGGTCAATAATTCATTACTTTTACTACGCGGTGGAGGTGTTGTCGCTATTGGTCAAAAACTTGAGTGCGAGAATGCTGTTTTTGATCCAAATATTTCGTTTGTTGGTAAAATAAATAATTTAAATTTATGGAAGTATGACGTGACACGCAACACATCATGTACCATCAAGGGACTAGAAGATGATTGTACTATAGAGCCACATAAACAAATAATTCAGTGGAGAGATCTTGACATTTTTTCGAGCGGAAATGTTTCAAGATCGTTAACAATTGGTAAGTAATAATTGTTTCAACAATTTCTAAACGTGAAGCCTCAAATACAAAATAGTAATAAACAAGAGGATTTCTGTGCTTTTATTGCAACTAAACAAGAGCCCTATTAGTCATATACTTTTTTTAATCAAATTTCTAAGTTGAATATCAAAAGCATTATTTGAATATTTTCCTCAAAAACGAAAAAAATTATTTTAAAATTTAAAAGGCATGAAAAAAATGTAAAATTTAAATAACATTAAATATACTATACAATAAATTAAGAAACGACAAGAAAATTTGCGCCATATTCAAAAGAAATAACAATAAAATCAGAAAATAAAGTAAATGCGATATGTAAAAAGTGCTTATCATTTATACAGAGAGCATTCTGTATCGCTCTGATCAGTGCATTGTTGCTGCAAAGTGCAAGCTAATTGGTCTTTATAGCAAAGAAACGACCATGTTTTTTTGCAAAATTCGCGCTATTGGTATTACTTAAGGCTCATTTCCACTTAGTCGAAAATGTTGCGCGGTCGACTGTTACAGCACGATGTTCGAAATACGCATGAGCCTTACAAAGACATCAAGAGCGCCCAATCGCTAAAAAAGTAGATAAACTACTTTTCCGTTAGCCAAAGTCAAATTTACATAGTTTCAAGTAAACAAATATGGCGGACGACAGCAGGAGTGATCAAAATTTCAAGTGGACGACCAAGAAGAGTTTCAAGCAAGCCTTGATTTAACATTTACACCAATTGCACAAAGCCTTTTCACTTATCAAACAAACAAAGTCTACAATGTGGAAATGATTATAGATTTAGGGAAAGAACGACGATTTTTATGGAATAAAGCCTCCCAATCTTACAAAGATCAAAGAAAAAAAAAGAATACCTGGGCTAATATGGCTTGTCTGTTGTAAAAAGACAGTAAGTAATGTTTTCATATTTTCCAAATGCAAATGAAAAGTGACTGTTTTAAATGAAATTCAAATGGAAACAATCAAACGTCTTTAAGCATTTCACTTACTAAAGACTTTCTTATTGTATATTAAACAATTTGATTAAAAGAACTCAGATGCCAAAAGTGTATTGCCAATGTCCTTTATATAAATATGTTTTCTACCCTTCCCAACGTTTCTCTTCTTTCTTCTCCTTTAAGGACAAAATTTTCCCAAACCTCTGACGCACTACCTCTGGAGCACTAGGTAATATCCACTCCCCGATTTACTGGCAACCAAGTTTCCTGCCCTGCGTTATCGAGCATTTTTGCTCACATTAACGCAGCTGCATACACCCCCAACTTAGACGAATTTAAAATAATTTCTTCTTCTCGTGATTCCTATGAACTGTCCATTTATGAGAGCCTCCTAGTCAACAAATACAAGCCTTCACTTAACGCGAGAGGCAGTTCCATTCCACTTAACCTCTTTTAAATTCACTTTATATTACTTCCTAACTTTCTTATCATGTAAGCCATTTGACACCACCTCCTTTAGTAATTTAACACCTTATGTAAATATAAATTCTTGTCTTAACATCCTATTAAATATTACTTGTCTAAAGATGTCTTGAGTTAAGACAAAACATCACAATATATTCAATTTCGTATTACGGTGGCCCAGAAAGCTTAACCAATCTAAAATATTTCGGAACACAAAACAAATTATTCAAACCTTAAAAAGATATAAACAATGAAAGAAATATTTCACAACACAAGCACTAGAAATAAACAACGCATCTAATTGTTTACAGCAGAAACAATGTTTCTCACAAGGGAAGCAATAAAGTCGCATTGCAAGCACAAAAACTCACATTACGCACAAAAACAAAATTTGACAAAATGCAAATGTTTTCACAACGGAAGTTAATACAACCGGAAATTGGACAGAAGCAATAGCAGACAGCGTGCTTCGGGAAGTTTTTTCAAAATGTATTGCTGTAAATGTGGTCTGAGACCCCACAATTTTCAAATTTTTGTTGGAAATGTAAAAACCCTAGGAAAGACAAAACAACAGAAGCATCAAGCGAAAAGTTAACTATGCTATGGAGCATAGTTAAATTTTAAGAACAAAGTTAAATATGGCGGCTTAGCTTCTCAAAGACAATTATGGGCGAGATATTGTTAATCAACAAGTTTTTACCTTGAGTTTTTAATCACATTGGTATCTTCCATGGCAAAGGCTTTTAGAATAAGATCTTTATGGTCGGTGTATTATATTCGTCAGTGCTGTAAACATTCCAAGTTTTGCAGAAAAAAAAAACAGCCAACAACTTATCCGCGTAACAAATCCCTTTTTACTCAAGAGCATCTGCATAATTGCATTTTGTGTTATCTTTTCTTTGCATCCGGTAGCTCTTTCAACTCATAAGCGAGACTCTCAATTGAGATAGAGTCACTTCTTTAAGATTAATGCACATAACTTGCTGACATTGTCTTACAAACACGTACAATTCTTTCAATGACAAAAAAAAGAAAGAATGTTTATCGAGCAATGAATCCTATAGCCTTGGATTTATCAAATATTCAAATTGCGGGTTTTTCCCTATGCATTTTGCTTGATTTGAATATCCTATGCATCATATAAATTCGTTGCTCTATATATGTGTGACTTATGTCTATACATACATTTCTTTCAAGCATTTTACTTAGCTGTTATAAACAGAAACAAAACGACCTTTTCCTTTGTCACCATCAATCTCTCAGTTTTAAATTCTGTCAAAGCAAAGCCATTCAAATATTTGAATCCCTATACATCGAACACAATATGAATCAATTTGAGACGAGTTCATTGTTTCGTTCCCCCAAGTCCATTATATATAATTGGTTTAAGAAAGAAAGAAGTCCTTGCAAAGACTCATATTCATCAACATCGTACTGTACTACACAGAAGATAAAGGTCGATTTACTTGAGAAAAATCTAAAGTATATGCTCCAATTTGATCCGGTTACCATGTCACCGTTAGGTTATGTTGAGTTTGATGACGTGGCCATGATAAATAATCACACTGATGTCTGGAGGTTTTATTACATTTATTCCCACACATAGAAGAAAGACTACCACACGACAACTAACCGATACACATAATGATACAGTGGTCTTTTTTGGTGGTCTTTTCCATTTCTAAGTGCACAGTAGCTAATAATTTAGAAAAAAATAAGTTCCATGCAAAATATTTACTTTGCCAGGATTTGATGTAATAAAATCAACGAGACTCCAAGTTCTTACAGAAAATTTTCTAAAATATTTTTGTAGAAATATCGGGGGTTCGTTTTGACTTTCTTATAGATTTCATGTATGTAAGCAAATTTAAAATTCACTTATTGAGGGTGCTCTCATTGTTTTACTTTTATTTTGAAAAAAGCAAGATTTTCATTAAAAAATTAGCTTTAAGTGCATGCATATTAATAAGGAAGATATGAGGAGGAAATGATTGTTTTCTTTACAACAAACTCAAAGAAAGTATACGTGAATAAAATATCAGTTTATTTGAATAAAGAATATAACAGAACTTTTCCTTTTAGACCTTGGTAAACCACAGTCTTGCATAAACGCAGGCTGGCAGAAATCATTTAACAAAAAAGGTTGGTCAACTTGTGGGTCCAACAACAAATTCATAACTGGTTTTAGGCGCCTTCAGTTCAACAGTACAAATCGTGATGGCATTAAGAAACTCCAACAAGCTAAATGCTGTTCGTCAAATAATATATATAAAGGGCAAAGTAGCATATGTCAAAATGTTAGCTGGCAAACCTCTAAAACTAAGTAAGTATATTTGATAGAATACCAATTAGCACTTTGAGGAGGGTTTAAAAAGTAATTAAAAATGTTAAGCAAAAAAATACTACATCTAATTTTGTCATTTATAAAATTTCCTACGTTATACAATGTCTTTTCTAAGCTGTTATTGTGATAAAATATTTGATAATTAGTCAGCATTTGATAAAGAAAGCAAAGCCTTCCCCCAAATAGCAAAAATAGTTTACTTATTTGTTGGGTTCTGTAGGTACTTATGAACTAAAAGCCTGACAGATATATTTTTTATGTAATTTAACCAAGTCGTTACACCGTAAACTTTCAAAATCCAAGACACAGTAAGACATAGTTTGTTCTATGTCGTTTTAAGACTTTTATAGAATATTTGAACGAATGGAATTGATAAATTCTATTTTCTTTTGATTTCAATATCGTATTTTAGAAATAACATTTGGGGTGTTTGCTCTTATGGTTATTTTTTAAATGGTCTCTATCGCGCACAAGGCCGTAACTTACACAATATTGAGAAAGGAAAATGTTGCAAACCAGTCAATCATCCAGACAAGTATGGTGATTGTTACGATGAAGACATCAGTGAAAAGTTTAACAAAAAAGGATGGGCAATATGCAAAAAAGCTGGTTATTACATAACAGGATTATTCAGAAGTCCAGGAGGTGACTGGCTACACAACATTGACAAATTAAAATGCTGCAAAATGGTTGAAGGTATATAATTTTTCTTGCTGACAAAAAATTTTTTTACAAAATATTTGTTTTACATAGAACATTAACCCTCTTAATTATTGATTACGTCATGACCGTTATAAAAAATACTAGTTTTTCAATAATTTTTCGCACCGCGTCTCAAGTGTGTCTAATGACATCGTCAGGATTTTATAAATTATATATCGCACTATTGTATAATATATCAAAGAACTTTAATACTATGAGAAGGGCTTCAATATATTATTCAAACGTAGATAAATTTATATTTTCTTATATTACACAGCATTATTTTAACACAATCCTCATAAAACACAAAAATTTTTTGTCCTAAATAACCAAATAATATTGTCGACGAGGAGCTACATGATAAAATATCAATAACAGATTATAAAGTGTGAAATTTTAAATGATCTATGCATTTAGAAGCATTGCCTTGAAGTCGACCTACTACTTAACCATAAACAAGTCTGCGAGTTTAAAATAGAGCATTTGTAACATCGTCGGCAGTTGGAATATTGCACAGTTTGCAATTTTCTGACACAGTGGATAGGATGCTAAGTCAATCATAGCTCAAATATTTTACACGAGTGACGCCTTAAGACCTGGATCTACAGTGTAGCCATAGTTTTGTTGCGCAAAGACTGTGATATCGCAAGAGAAAGTATAGAAAGTAATAGGAATAGACCTTGCCAAAATCAATTATATGATTACATATAATATGTACAATGGTCTCATACTAGGGCGCAGTCTGTGACACAAAAAGTCTCTTAGGAAACGATTGTTGTTCTCCATCTGGCACTCTATTTCAACACAATAGATAAGTAGAATATGTAATGGAAAGTGATAGTTCACTTGTTTCCACCTTCAAAGTATTTCACCATTGAAATATCATTTATTTGATGTCTTTCGCAATCGATCAACGCCATTTTGATAACGCAATTTTAGCGATACTTGATGTTGAATACGAAATAAAATGCCCATTCTTCACTTTTACATTCATTTCTAAATGAAGTTTCGCAAAAATCCGCTGTTCAGGCAAGCTTCAACCAGAAAGCTTTTGATAAGTGCAAGTTGCAAAACTTGGCAGACAAGAAACTATGGTATGTTACCCCCAAAAATAATTGTTCTAATTCCACATTATATGCCACATTATTCCTCCAAAATAGCGAACTATAGTATGCGCTGGCGTTATCTCCTTCATAAATATAAAACACAGGAGCACATTAAAAACCATAATTTAATACCAGCATAATATTAATTTACTAAATATACTGTATAATAAAATTTAACATACTTTGAGGTATATAGCCCGGCCTACTCTTAATATTTAGTATAAAGTAAGCAGTGGAATTCTGAGAAGAATGTTATTGGGGGGCGATCCCTTTCTGCAAGAAATACAACTCTCCTTCCAAATACAATACTTTAGAAACGAGGGCCAAACATTAGAACCATGCATAATAGGTTCGATTCATAACATAAACCTCCAAGGAAATGCTTTCCTTGAAAGTTTTTATATTAAGAAGCCATAAAATTTAATTTCACTTACTTTAATTTTATTAACCTATTATCAAAACTCCACGACCCATATTCCCATTTTTTTCTTCAAAAAACTATAGGTAGGTGCTGTTTGGCCAACTGCCCCTCTGTCAGCAAGCCACTGGCTGTAGATATAAACTGTCAATTGTATGATATTTATCTTAGTTTTCTAATCAGCTGTTGCGTCATTCAACTAGAGCTCTAGGTAACATCTAGTTTGACAAAATTAATATTTTTGTCATTTCTATGGTGAAGATCAAACGTACTAAGTTTATCATCACCATTATGTTTTTGTAACCCTTCTCATCATCATCATATTCAAACATTGCATTCTTACAATAACAGCAGAAACACAATTAGGTTCAATTTCAGTAAATCTTTATGCAAACATATGGTCGATTATTTAGTCTTATAATTACGCTTAACATTTAGATTCAAGCAAACGTTGATGACTAAAGAAATTTCCTTTTCATGCTGGGCTTTTATTTTGATGATGTATTGCCTCCAACAAAAAATATCCAAGTCTAACTTATATATATACAGCATATTTTCGATAAGAAGGAATATATCTTCTCTCACCAGCTGGTCAAGAATGGCAGTTTCATGATAGAACACTACGATAACTTAGATGGCCAGGCACTGGTTCCTCAAAGTTTGAATCCTTATCCTGAATGTAAGTGTGAACTAAATGCTCGACCATGCACAAGGGTTAATTTCAAATGGACTTTTTTTGGCTCCTTTATTAATTGCGTGAATGCACCTTGGAAATAACGATGATAATCATTTTAGTGCTAAATGTCAAAAACAGCGCGAATAGATTGACTAAATACTGATTGAAAAGCCGGGATCAATATCTTACATTTTCTTTTAATCCCTATAGCATACTTGAATATTAAAAGTTTCTCTTGTGTTTTATGCACATGAAAGACAAAACGCCTGAACATAATATACTTGGCTATTTGAAAGGTTTTACGAAGCATCTAATCTGGAATTAGAACAATTCGTTTTTCGGGTAATATTCCATAGTTCGTTGTCTGCTAAGTTTCGCATCTTTTCAGCTTAAACACAAAAATTAATGGTTCGAAGAATTTCAGAAAATATAGTGTTCAGAACTAACACAAATGTCCGCTTTACTCCGTAACGCGTTGCCGTAAAATGGGGACATCACGTTCCAGATTATTCAAAAAAATATTCTTCTTAAAGGAGAAATGGTCTAAAATATCTCAAATGAGTTTAAGGGCATGTTTTCATTTTATTCCAGTTTGAAAACTTTAAATTTTTTGCTCAAAACACTGATAAGGCCATCCATAGCTTTCTGGTTGCCTGAACAGCGGATTTTGAACAGCGGAGTTGAAGCTTGCCTGAACAGTGGATTTTAGCGAAACTTCATTTAGAAATGTGTGTAAAACTGCAAAACCTGCATTTTATGTCGTACTCAACATCAAGTATCCCTGAAATTACGTTATCAAAATTGCGTTGATCGATTGTGAAAGACATCAAATTATTGATGTTTCAATGGTGAAATACTCTAAAACTGCGGGTCTTTGAAGTGGAAACAAGTGAATTATCACTTTCCATTACTTATTCTACTTATCTATTGTATTAAAATGCAGTGCCAGATGGAGGGGCAACGAAACTGAACGATAATCGGCAACAAAATACGACCAATACACTGCGAGTTTTAATATTCCGTGACAACTAAGTCACAATTTCAGTTTTTTTAATGCTCAGGAGGATATTTCCATCAGGATGTCGAAGCTGTAGAAACTTGTGAACGCTTTTTGGTGCAAGAGAAACCTTGAACAAGCAAAATTAGAATAACGTCGAAGAGCATGATGTTGTGATTTTTAAAATTGCCATTTCTGCAGAGTCAGAATGACACAATGACTATTGCTTTGTGAAACAGTAAGGGCAGTTTCTGACGTATTTACTTGCTATAGATGATCACTCAATAATGCTTATGGCCCTTAATGATTTATGTATGAAATGGAATTAATTTGATGGTCAGTCACTCAGAGGAGGCAACACATTCTTTAGATAAAGCCATTACGACGGGTTCAAAGGAGCTACATCCTATGTCCAACAGAATAACGTACTGGCTAGGATAACGCGTTAATTTTGTTTGGAAATGATTGAGAGTTAGAGGGAGAAAGTGATCGTTTTTTAGATTTGATTGATTATTCTTTTAGACCTTCCTATTGCAAATATCCAACTATTTCAGATACGGAAGAATATAAGGATGTGTGAACATTGTCCGCATAGTGCTCAGGCAATTTAATTTATGTAATATTCTTCTTTATTGTAAAATATTTGTGATTTACTCGTGAAAGAAGTAAGAATTAAATTGGTTAGGTTAGTTTACGAATGTTATATTATCACTTTGCTAACTTGCACGAAAGTCACTCTAGTTAGTTACTTTCATGATTTATACATAAAAATATAGTCATATGAGCCACCTTTGTCAGAAATAGCCTAGACAAATCACTTATTCATGAAAGTACTTCATGTTCTTATATTTTTAACAATTTACTAAAAGTTAAATATCATATTTTCTTTGTAAGTGGTAACCAAACTTTGTATGTAGTGATAAATTTTGCTCTTCAAACAATTTTAAGCATACGTTTATTTGTGAATTATTTTCTACCACATGGGCTTGTTAGGAGAAATTAGGGACATTGTCAGATGATGAGCCTCATGTTATCATTGTAGAAATAAATGCTTCCATTGTCCAATCTTTTTTAAGTGGGTGTA